CTCTCTCTCTCTCTCTCTCTCTCTCTCTCTCTCTCTGTCTCATTCATAATAAAGATTAGAATCTTCTCATTATTGTGTATCTTGAATATTTGTTTACAAACATACTGCTAAAAACACAAACCATCGAGTATTCACAAATACTGTAGCCGCTGTAACACTATTGTCTGTCCGTCCCTCCTGTCAGTGTCCAATTATTAGAAACAAGGATCCTCAGGGTAATGATTGCAAAAATCCCAATACTTCTCCACGGCACAGTTGCAAATTGCTCGCAGCTGTCATCAGTATCGATCTATTCTCGAGAAGAAGTGATCGAACTTTCTTATAACTTTAAATCTTCCACGCAATCAGCCAAGCACAAGAATCAACAGTCAAAAATCCTTTGAACTCTGAAACTACTTCAATTCGCACTCGCGCATTCTTCTTCCTCCTTATCTATTTTCCAATTATTTGGCAAATATATGAGTATTTATCCGCACTTTTGACCAAAAATCTTACAACGTCGAGAAGCCACATCTTTGTAAACGCCATTACGTTCATATATTCTACATTTTCTGAATAATTTGTAAAAAAATACCGCGCATAACTTTTACTGACCGTTATATTATCGCATACGTAGAATCATTTGTTAAGCAATCGTCTTCTTAAAGCAATGTGTCTAACATTAAAAGCGGGACAATGTTCCTTTCTCAAACAAAACCCCAAATCGTCATTATTAAATCTCACTTACAGTTTTATTCGAAAGAGCTTTTTTAAACTTGTCATAGTTTAAATTTTAAAACATCGGAAGCTCCAACAATCTTGTCCGATTCTTAAGATATTTGCGCATAACAAGAAGCAATGAAAAGAGGGAAAGAAATCGAAGGAGAAGAGTATATCAATAATTCGCGCTCTTTTTCGACGTCTCATCAGATAATGGATAAACGCTTGTCAAACATGTTCCATTATCAGACAAGAGGATGTATAAGTAAATAAAAAAATTAACATACGAATAAAATAATGAAAAATAAACTTAATTCTGGGAGATGAGACCGTCGCTCACGGACGGTTTACAAATACGATGAACGCATATTTATATGCACATTCATTTGCTATGTAATGTTGTTACTTATTTTCGAAAACTGATGAAAATCAGAAACATAAAACAATCTCGTTATTACTGTTGGGATTAAGAAAACGTTAGGGATATACACGCGCTAAATTTTAGAATATATTTAAGGAAATTATATATATATATATAAACGCGTCCTCTTGTTTTTTTTCTTTTTTTTTATTTTATCTATCTCTTTTTTATTACTCTAAGTTACTCCTTAAGCGAAAAAATTCATGCCAAAAATCGACGAACAGCCAAGCGAAAAGAAGCGCAAAGTGAATCACTCCCGGAAAACGATGGTCACACGGAAAACGTACCATTATCAGGTACGAGCGATTTGCGAACTCAAATTAGAATCCTTCACCTTCTCCTCCTTCTTCTCTTCCGCCACCACCGTTTTCTCCTCCTCCTTCTTCTCCTCCTTCTTCTCTTCTGTCTTTACTCGCGCAATATTGCGTGGCGCAAACTTGTTCAAAAAAATTCACGAATCACAATTGACATTCCAATATATCAGGTTAATTTTTCAGGTTGTAGAAAGCATAGAAACAAAAAATTCAAATTCTCTGTCTAAACGTAATAAATAGCAAATAATGTGTGTGTGTGTGTGTGTGTGTGTGTGTGTGTGTGTACACGCGCGCGTGTATGTGTATATAACGAACCGCGAAAATCGTTTACACAATGTCTCTACGGTAAATAACACGTTGAGAGTATCGATTCGATAGGAAAGCGTACGACAAAAATGAAACAATTGGTATGAAAAATGTAACAACGAACAATCGATGAAACCAAACGTACATACAATTAACACATTGATATATCCACTCAGATTCAAATAACAAGAATCCGTATCGGTCGTTATATGAGCATCTGGCGCTATATGAAGCGCATGGTATAATTTTCTCATATTCTTTCGAGAAGTACGTTACACTACGCCATTTCGGCGTTAAAATATCACGACGAAGCGTAATTGGATGAATAAGTTTTAAGCCTTAGTTTTGATACGATAACATGTAGTATTGGAGATAACAAAATGACTGCCGAAATAACTTCTTTTTTTGAGTTCGAATCAACACTTCGGCTATTGAAAACAAGTCGATCGCAATTACGTGGAAAGACTTTCGAATTCCGCGAACTCGTATACGACCTACGTCTCGCCGTTGGCGGAACGGCGAATGCAACGTCGGTCGTCGCGACGACACTGAGACGCCGGTCGTCGAGACGCGGACGGTACCGCGCGCTCGGCAGCCAGGTACGGTATCCTAAACAGTTATTAATAGCCCCTGTCCTAGCTTACTAGATTTGCCCTCGAAATGATGCGACGCAATGCAACGTGACATCAAGCAATTCTGTATTCCCGTTAGTAATCATTCCTCTTTTTCCTTTTTACTTTAAAACGTTTTATCAAACAACGAGATTCACCTGATTAGTTAAATTTTAGAGAAATTTGCATTTCAATATATACGGTATCCCTAAAATTTAGTATTACCTATCTTGAGCAAGTAGAGCGGACTAAACTGAGTGAAAAGTCCTGTACCATTTTGCAATTTTCGCAATGATTAACAAAATATTAATTACTAAAAAACGCTAATTATTTATTTTCAATAATTTTTTACTCAAATACTATCAACTTTACAGAAAAATAGCAAGAGATAAAAATTGTTTATTTTCTTTTTATAAAGTTCTGAGAATTTTTTCAAAATTTTTTCAGAATTTTCTATTTTCTTATGATGGTAAAAATAAAAAACTGTGGTATTAAAAAGTTGATAAAAAATTTTGAAAAAATTCTTAGAGTTCTATGAGAAAAAAATAAATGATTTTTGTCTCTTACGGATTTTCTGTGAAGTTGATAGAATTTGAGTAAATTATTTTAAAAAAGAACTGCAAAGGATATGAGCAGTAGGAATCAAGCGCAGAAGACGTCGCGCAAATAATGTATCTGTGATGTATGAAACTTCTTTATTCACTAAAACGCGCTTACATGTTTTGGCTCACTTTTGAGCCCTCCTTAGAGACAATACAAACTAATATAAATAAACTGTAAATAAAAAATTATCCTATCATAGTGAGCTCCTCTACCTCGAAAATTTAAATACCAGAATTAACCCAAAAAGAGTGAAAGAAAAAGAAAAAAGAAAAATGAATGAAAAAAAGGAAATAATGGAAATATCGAAATAGAGAATTTGAAAAACGTTTATTTTTCTTTTTTCTTTTTCTTTCATACTTTTTTAATTCTAATATTTTAATTATCAAGGTAGAGGAGCTCACCATGAAAGGATAATTTATTTACGGTTTATTTATGTTAGTTTGTGTTGTCTCTGAGGAAGGCTCAAAAATGAGCCGAAACATGTAAGTGCATTTTTTAGTGAATAAAGAACACTTCATAGATATATTATATTATTTGCGCGACGTCTTCTGCACTTGACTCCTACTGCCCGTATCCTTTTCAGTTCTTTGATTTATAAGGAGTCTTGGTTAGTTTGATTTGTACAGATTTATTTTTAAAAAATTATTGAAGAACAATATTAGCGACTTTTAATTTATATTTCGTTGCAAAAATTCCAAAATGGTAGAGAATTTTTCGACTCAGTTTAATTCGCTCTATCTGCTCAGGATGGGTGATGCCGAATTTAGAGACACCCTATATGATTCAGAATAAATGTTAAGTTCGAGATGAGAAAAGCACCACATCATATTGAATTGTGATAGTGTATGTATATGTATACACATGCATACAAACGTACACGCGCGCGCGTATGTGTATATGTATGTGTATATGGATATATAAATATATATAATGCATATGTGTATGTAAACATATAAAGTTTATGTTGCTTAAATTAATCATGATACACGGAGATTTTAATTGGAGATAAATCGTGTAAAGAATTACATGGACAAACTAAAAAATTCTGATTAAATCAGATGGTTTAATCAAAATTCCGATTATCTTAACTAGAATGTTAGTAAATCTAATCAAAAAATTTTCTGATTAGGCTAAGTTGAGGTAATTGGAATTCTGATTGATATAATATTAGAATCGTCTGGTTTATCCATTTTTTCAATCAAACATTTTTCTCAGTATATCATAAAATATATTGTAAGATAGGAGGAATTGGTTAAGTAAATAAGGTGACAAAACACCAAAGCACACGCGTTTAAAGCATACTTGCATAATCACTTTACGATGCTTTCCTTCGATGTAAGAAATTATAGATATTATCTAAATAACTATAAACTACCAGTATTAACTAACAACAGTACCTTATTGATACTTAAAAACTATTAATTAGTGAAGCAAATGCGGGGAACTTTGACAAACGCACATGCACGAAATAGCAAAATCGAATTGTTTTTACGCGACCAGCATAAATTACATAACAAAACATAAATTAAACATTTCGAAAATCTAAGCACCTGTCCAACAGAAGGAGCTTGTAGGTAAGTTGAAATATCCGGTTCCACCATACAGCTCCTCAGAGTGTCCGGGATAAACATGAGTAGACTGAACGTTGTCTAAACTCTTCAGGCTGGAATTGATTCAACTTTGTCGCCAATGTTTGACTCCGCGTTTTAACACAAATTCAATAATGATTACCATAAAAAATATAAACTTACAATTAGTTAGACTAATTGTCCAAACAGACTAAATCTGGAATCAGACAAAATTTGAATTTCTCTGTTTTCGATGATCCGTTATCGTCCGAATGACAGGGATCGCGCTCTTCTTAATGTATAATTATACGATTGCTGTCGCGAGTTGTCAAAGGTGAAGCACGTGGATCGAAGAAACTTTCTTCTCTCGCGAGATATCGAGGAAGTTCCGGACGATACAGAGACGGTGGTAATGATGGTAATGCAGTCGTACTGAGTTCTCAAGCTTTGTAAGAATCCGCTGTCTTTAACGATTCTCTCACTATCTCCCGCGTTCTCGAAAAATATTTCCGCAGGACTGTCGTTCTCGGCACAGACAGGTTTGCCGTTAGCGATAGTATTACGGATGCTGTTGACACTACTAAACTGTCGTTTGTCGGGTGGTGACGAGACGCCGCACCCAAGTACACGCATTCTATCTAACCGCAGCAGCCACAAATTACAAACTTTTCAATTTCGGGTTTTGCCTCTCTCTCTCTCTCTCTCT